GAGAAGCTGCATTTTGAGTAATTTCTTTTGTCATTAATTTAGTCGAGGGAAATATGCTTCTGTTTAGGTTGCGTAAATCCACAAACTGTATCCAACTCAGTCGATGCCTGTAATCTATTCCTTTATGTTAAGTCCAGTAATTCAGAGTTATAGTTGGTTATATACACTGTGTAAATATTGCGTCCTGCTCTGAATAAAATCGGTAAGTGTATTTTAAACAGCATTAGCTTTGATATAGGTTGTCATTGATAGGTTGTCATTAATTGACAATTGATAGGTTGTCATTGATAGGTTGTCATTAATTTAGTCGAGGGAAATATGCTTCTGTTTAGGTTGCGTAAATCCACAAACTGTATCCAACTCAGTCGATGCCTGTAATCTATTCCTTTATGTTAAGTCCAGTAATTCAGAGTTATAGTTGGTTATATACACTGTGTAAATATTGCGTCCTGCTCTGAATAAAATCGGTAAGTGTATTTTAAACACGCATTAGCTTTGATATTGGCTTGCAACACCTTGAAACTGTATATTAGTTAAAGTTCCTTCTCCGATTATTTTATTCAGTGATAAGAACCACCTTACTTTCATTAGCAAAATGAAAAACAAAATAAGAGACTATTAAGGTGGAGTTTCATGTTGCAGGAACACAATATTGATATCAGGAACATTAAGAGAAAATACATCTCATTAGAGATGCACTTTCTATGTATTTAATTGTATTGTATAATTTTTTGTGATTTTTTTTTGTACGTTTCATATAGAATACGCACACCGAAAATATGTCTTCAGTTTGTTTAGATGAAATAGACTGAGCTTATACGCAAGTAAAACGAAAGATTGGGAGGGTGGGCCTCGAACGCAATGCAACCAAAATAATGGACTTTACTTAATTCTAGATTGAAAATAAAATTAAAACTATATTTATATTAAAACCAGAAACTGAGAGCCATCAAAAGGGCTTACAGTTAAATAGAAATTCAAAATACTTTTTGCGAAAGACTTTCCAACATGCGTGTATTCTTTTGATTTTTAACGTAAGCTTTAACAATTATTATGTTTAGTCATATTGCTACAATGTCTAAACCATTGCTTGACTTCTTTCTTTAATATTTCTTAACCTATCATATTTCTAATTCACCATAGAGTAGAAAAAAATACTTTCAGGCTCTCTTAAAAATCATTGACTTAAGTCTTGTATGAAAGGTTAGTAGCGTAAAGTCACCACTATATTATCAAAGCCAATGAAGTATTGCCACTCAAAAAGAGCAATATTCGTGTATAGAAGACGCAAACAAGGCAGTTGAGATTTAATAGAAAAAGAGATACAGTGATCATTAGGAAACTAGGAAATTCATGTAATTGTTTTCATTGATAGATAAAATAAGAGTCAACATTTATACACTCGATTCTTGAATTTAACTTTATCAGATACGTAGAATAACGCCATAAAGCGAAGTCAAAGAACAGGTCTGTTCAATTGTTAAGATTCAGTTCAACATAAAAACAAAAAAAGAAATGGATTGAAAAACTTTATTGCTGGTGGATTATATAATTCTGCTTTGTTTTTTTTAATACTGAATATTGTATAAGCCAATGCATATGCTTGTCTTATCTCTGTCATGAAACATTCATTACCATCCTTCTCATTTCTGTTCACTTCTCCTCATGCATTATTCATATTGAGAAATCATTAAGTGAATGGATACAGCAAACGCAGATAACGTATAGCATCAGATACAAGATTTTCGCCGGGATCATTTAATGCTGACTGCAGCTAAGTCCAAATTAAATGTGTTTCGATCGGATTCAATGCCGATCGATACAAACTGAATATAAAATGTATTCCTTACATCACCAGCTCAATCGTGACATATACTTCGTTTTGGATCATGTATAAATTGAAATGAAGCAATACACCTTTCAAGAACACGGCTATTTCGGCACGCAGAGGCCACGCAAATGATGGTGGAAAATATATTCAAGTGCGTTCAATTGCAAGAAGACCATTCCTCTGGCCGGATGATTAAAGCGTCCACCTCAGAAGTGGGACGTCGCGAGTTCGAACCCCGGTTTAGTGATGCCAAAGACATAAAAATGGTACAAACAGCTGGCTCGCTTGGCGCCCAGTATTGACATGATAGTGTTAGGACCGGTCGACCTGGTTTCACCATAACTGGGTGGAAGATGGTACTGCATGTCTGCGGCACGATTCCGCAGTGCTATACATTATAAACTGCCAAACTGCAGACATCGTAGCGATATGACTGGAAAATTGTTATGCTAAGTTAAAACTCCAAACCACACACGCGATTGCACGAAGATTTATGGTGTTTGGATGTGTGTTTGTCTCTACCAGTAAACGGAATCACATATTAGTGCTATTGATTTTTGACAGCAGAGATCATGACCTTACAAACTTTATAAGATAAATATAATACTTCGATGCGTCGGTGTATAACAGGAGAATTCCGTGCGAGGGTCAAAGTACTACGTCAGACACAATGTTTTGCCAGACGCAAAGAAATGGTCCAAAAAGTAGATTTCATTACAAAACCGATGCATATTCAGAGGAACAGTTTCTTACATTCTTGAACAAAACATTTACAAAAAGAAAACTTCCGTTGAAAACTTCTTCACCTGTTCAAAATTGTAAAACGTTGGGTTTACACGAAAGAATTAAGTTAAAACTGTAAGACACGTTTAAATATGTGTACTTGTTCCAATAATAATAATAATAATAATAATAATAATAATAATAATAATAATAATAATAATAATAATAATAATAATAAACTTATTATTATTATTATTATTATTATTATTATTATTATTATTATTATTATTATTATTGTTTTTTTTTGGTGTGTTTTTTTGTTATTGTGACTGTTGAGATAATACAACAGAAACGACTTATAATATTGTATACATTTGAAAAAGCAAAATAAAAAATAATTACCATCCATCCCCTAAAATGATATCTCACTAGAATTAAATTTTCAATTTTTCCTGTATAATCTTGTCAAGTCCTAGTTTAAAAATATAACAATGACAAAAATGCAACTGTCACGTGGTAAAAGATAAAGAAATTATATATCGTTGTTCTACATAAGAAAAATACGATCCAACACTTAAAAATGTAAGGACTGCGTTTTTAATTTTTGTGTGTGCATATTCTTACGTATATGTATATGTAATTTAATTACTTGTGTGTTAGTTTAAATTTCTTTTTTTTATTTTTATTTCATTACGTGTTATTTTAATGATAACTTTCTTCACTGGATTTAATATTTTTCCAGAAAGTTCTTTTCTGTTCTGTTAAACCTGATAAACACGCACGGTGACCTAGATTTTGGAGCCAGATTCAGCTCTGTTGTATAAACTTTTCTAATTTTTTATTATTGGATCTTAAAGTAAGATTCTTTCAGTGTAATAAAATCTGCAAATGGCCTACGTGATAACTGACATATAATTTTTATACGGCTCGGCAAAAGAAGTGATCAAATGGCCATATCACGTGCTTCGTTTTGTGATTCAGTTGGAGTTGAAGTATTATAGCGTTTTTCTAGTCAGTTGTAAATCATACCTTCCGGCTCATGGGTATTTATTTTGTTTTTGCCAGTTTGAATTGAATTTTTTTTTATTTAAAATAATTTATTCACCCTAGAAAATAGTTTTGCTCATCAAAATTCTTGGACAAAGACATTTACTGAAATTTATTCGGAATTCTAAAGCTGGAATATTAATTTTAGTGATTCAACAAGGAATTGTTGGCAACAAAACAGGTTAGATTAGACATCATCGCCTTCCATCTTGGAGCTTCATCAGGATTCGAACTTTGATAAACGTAGAAATTTTAGTGATAGGACTTATATTTTTAAATTCTAGGATTAATTTCTGTATTAGATTCACAAACCGTAAGTCTTTTTTCCTATTTTTACGTTGTTTTTTTTAGAAAAATAAATTATTTTGTTACAATTTACAAAGTTTGTTGGCTTCACTCTTTTCTTTGTTACTTTTGTACGAGACTAGACGTAACAATTTCATAACTTTGTCTGACACATTAGACTTTAATAAGTCATACATATTGCTATATAATTGCTATATATATTGCTATATAGGTATATATTGCTATACATATCGCAATATAGGTATATATACATATTGCTATATAGGTACCTATGTATTTTCCATATAGGTAGCTGTATATATTGCTATATATATTGCGAGGCACGACTTTCATCGTTTGAATCATATTATAAACATGCTAGTTCGTTTCTTTATTTCTCCTCTCAAGACGCTAAAACATTAATTTGTTTTGTTCGATATGTAAAATGTAAGTGCATCAAATGGAGAATTTCATCCGGCGTATATAACCAGTACTCATCCCATTGGCTGCCATATTGACTCATCCCATTTGCTGCCATATTCAGACATCAGAACGTTAACATGTCCTCTGACAAAATGATTGGTAGGAGTAGATGAAATGAGGAAGCCATTTTCGAAAACATCAGTTTTAATTATTCAAATGATATGCCTTTTCACCACGTAAAGCTGCATTCCATCAGAAAGATACATTCTTAATTGAGGTTAACATATCATGCTTTAATGGATGCTACAGTACCGAATAATGACAATAATTTTAAACAAATTATAACCCTGAGCAAAGAACAATAGGAGTAATCTTGTGTGGTGTGTGTGTGTGTGTGTGTGTGTGAGTGTGTGTGTGTGTGTGTGTGTGTGTGTGTGTGTGTGTGTGTGTGTGTGTGTGAGAGAGAGAGAGATTTGGATTTTCAATGTATCTTTAACAATTGTTCAGTCATATCGCCACGAGAAATGCAGTGTGGCAATGTATATTGATGTCTAGCACATGGGGCATCATGCCGCCCAAATGTAGAATCATGTCCCACCCAATTACATTACTACACCAGGCCGACCATTTCTAACACTAACCTCTTAATTCTGAGCGCTACGCGATGCAGCTGCTGTGTAAGTCTTTTGTATGACTCGGCCGGGGTTTGAACCCACGAACCTCCCGTATCCGAGACGGACGCTCTAACCACTATGCCACCGGAGCAGTCGGGGAGGGGGAGGACGGATGAACGGGTGTAGCCGGACGGCTGTCGATGCGGGCTAATAGGACACTAACTGACTGTGGAGAAGCATGTGAACGCCATTTTCGTTTAAACACTTATCTGATCATAGGTAAGCAGTTGCTTTGGAAAAGGAAAATAGTTTGTGTTTACTTTCTTCACACGGTTCATTAATTGATTTTACTATGTTTGACTGTATACTTCATGCATATATGAATACTACAAACATAATAAGAGGCGAAAAGTCCCAATGTGTAAATTTCCAATTGAACGCCAATAGTATTCTATATAAATTCTGATATTGAATGTGTTGATGTTCCAGTAGTCTAGAATGTGCTAATGCGCCTGTAGCTCGGATTGTGGCGATGTGTTAACAGTCTTTTGATTTATCACAATAATATAATCCAAAATGTCCTTGCCAGATTTCACATTAATTCCAGGATAATATTTTATTCCAAGAATATTAATGAGCACTTATTAATTCAAGTGAATAGTCAAAATAAATTCACCCAAATTAAAGATGAAACACAACAGTAAGACTCATCCTGCTTCAGACGTTAAAGCAATAATGAGTAATTTTTCACGTAAAGACCATGATATAAAAAGCTAAGACATATTAATTAAGCCAGGATGTAAGTCAGTCTCCTCTATAAAGCTTTCTATATTGTCAACATGTTTAGGAATTTACAAGTGAAAGACTGACGACTCAACATCAAATAAACATGTTTACCGCTATTGATAATGATCTCAATGCTTAGAGAAATATTAGCAATGTATGATGCTGTTTACAAAATATATGTCAATGCTCAGGTACACCATGACCTTGATTCTGGAAAAAGTCATGTACAAAATACAGATGTACACAACATATAATCATTAAGAAAATAATACAAATCAAATATACACAACAAATGTCAGCAACACAATTTTTTAAAAGTCAACAAAAAATTTAGTAATTTTTTTCAGATTCATCTTTGATTCCATGTTAAAATCTAATGTTTATAAAAGACTCGAAATTCCCTGGAATTAAAAACGACGAAACGGCAAACATTGATAGATCTAATCATTGTTATATGCTTCACAAAAAATTCATTGCCCGTTGGTGTTTTTGATAGTAATTATGTACACAGACACTGTACAATTGGATTTCTCAACAGTGAGCATTTAATAAACTGCCTTTTTGTCCATAGACCTTGATGCAGTGCACAGCAATATGGAGTATGCATGTATTGAAAAATAAATGTCACTGACGCCTATTAATAATCTATTTACTAGCAAGGAGAAATTGATTTTGTCTATTCTATAACTTGGAAAAAAATTAAATATATAAGTTGTTTTCTGAACATATTGTTTGCAAATAAAATGCATCTGTATCAGTTCTGAACCTGGACAGTAGTTCCTAAAACAAAGTTATGGAGGCCAATACTGGCCATAAAGTGTTATATGATGAAGACAATGACACAACATTGCATGTATTTAGGTAATAATAATAACTACACACTTTTCAGGCTATATGAGTTTAATAATATCAGAAAGGAACAGTCTAGAATATTTTCGTATTCTCTGCTCATATGTCATTGCGTACATGCAAACAATATTTTATTAACCCTCTATAGTCTTAATAAGGTAATATAAAAGAGCTAATGCCAACAGGTTTTGTAAAATTCAACATATAATTTATTTCCTAAGAATACAAAGTGAAAAGTTTGATAATAGAATCCTACAGTAATGCGAATTAAACCCCAAATGGTCAGAGAGTTATATAACCAGTCCTAATGAATATAGTTCTATATAAATTTTGTAGTGTTCGAAAAAAGATCCAGCGCTGAAGCTGCTGATGTGCCTGTGGACTCGAATATACCAATACCAATGTACCAATGTACTAATGTCTTGAAGTGTGATGACGTCACAACAGTTTCTCAACGAAGCACAAAAATATAATCCAAGATATTCACTTTAATTCCATGCTTATTGTTTCTGTCAAAAAATATTATTGAGCACTTTGTATTTCCAGTAAATACATAATTTTAATAAATAATTCTAGCTCATATCAAAGCTGAACACAACAATACCAATGATTCTGCATCAAGGTCTTACAGCAAGAATGAATAATGTTTAGATATACAAGATTATCAAGCTTTATACTTGACATAGGTCACAATTAGCATTTTCTGGGAAACCTTGTCTTAATGGAGATTTCCATTCTAAAGCATTCTGAGTTCTCATCAAGATAAAACATTGTTTGCCAAAAATATTACAAGGCTCTGGTAAACATCAGGTAGGCTACGCATTTTTATGGGATAATTTCAATGACCGTGCTCCAGACCCAAACAAATATGTTTAGTGATATTGATATTGATCCTAAAATTAAACCCACACTTCAATAGAAATATTACCTCTGCATTATTCTTTTTTACCGAATAAAAAAACAACAGTTTTTTAAAAGTCAGGAATACAGTGAACTTGATTTTAGACCAGGTCAACTACGAAATACCATTATCCATAGCATTTTAAAACACCTAACAAACAATGCAAATTAAATATGCATAACATACACATATCTATCAAGTAAGATCTTCTGGACAACAAATGGAGTGTGTGTGTGTGTGTGTGTGTGTGTGTGTGTGTGTGTGTGTGTGTGTGTGTGTGATATTTGGATTTTGAACGTAGCTTTAGTAATTTTTAAGTCATATCACTACGATGTCTGCAGTGTGGCATTTTAAAGTGATGTCTAGCACTGCGGCTTCACGCCGCAGACATGGAGCATTATATACCAAAAAGTTACTTTATCTTGACACCAGGTCGACCAGTCTTAACATTAGCCTCTTAATTAAGAGCGCCTAGGACCGCTCCGGTGGCCTAGTGGTTAGAACGCCCGTTTTTTTTTTTCCAATCCCCGGTCGAGTCATACCAAAGTCTTACAAAAATGGTTCTAACAGCTGCCTTGCTTGTCGCTAAGTATTGCTGGTCGGCTCGGTGTCAAGATAATGTGACTGGGTGGGACATCATGTTACATGACTGCGGTATGATGTCCCAGTGCTAGAGATCACTTTAAGCGGCCAAATTGCAGACATCGTAGCGATATGACTGAAAAATTGTTAAAGCTACAATAATAAATCTGAATTACACACTCACTGAGCATCTAGTGAGGCAACTATTAGCACGATTCTTCAAAGTCTTTAGTATGACTCGGCTTCTGTGTGTGAATGTGTTTTTGTGTGTGTGTATGTGTGTTTGTGACTAAATGTATAAATAAGTGTGCATAATGTTTATTAGGGATAATTAGCTAATTTCAGGTAATTTTCTTTAGAGGGGTAAGAAAAATGACAATGCTCAACGATATCAACTTTGGCGAATTAATATTTTTAGACCTGCATGCAGTGAAAGAAGAAAGGAAAAGAAGTGAAATGCAAACAAGTATATATGTAATTTCATAGTAATCATTTCACACATGTGTAGGAATGTTTTCGCTATGAACAATACCTACTTTCTACATGGAACATTTGACAGCCATCGGGTTACATGTATGCGTGTGATTTGATTCATTCATGGGACTAGGAAGACTGGAAGTTCCCATTACACGGTATCGTGATACTGCTATATGCAGTTCACTGGAAGTTCCCATTACACGGTATCGTGATACTGCTATATGCAGTGTACTGGAAGTTCCCATTATACGGTATCGTGATACTGCTATATGCAGTGCACTGGAAATTCCCATTACTCGGTATCGTGATACTGCTATATGCAGTGCACTGGAAATTCCCATTACACGGTATTGTGATACTCCTATATGCAGTGTACTGGAAATTCCCATTACTGCTATAGTGATACTGCTATATGCAGTGTACTGGAAGTTCCCATTACACGGTATTGTGATACTCCTATATGCAGTGTACTGGATGTTCCCATTACACGGTATTGTGATACTCCTATATGCAGTGTACTGGATGTTCCCATTACACGGTATTGTGATACTCCTATATGCAGTGTACTGGAAATTCCCATTACTGCTATAGTGATACTGCTATATGCAGTGTACTGGATGTTCCCATTACATGGTATCGTGATACTGCTATATGCAGTGTACTGGAAGTTCCCATTACACGGTATCGTGATACTGCTATATGCAGTGCACTGGAAATTCCTATTACACAGTATCGTAATACTGCTATATGCAGTGCACTGGAAATTCCCATTACACGGTATCGTGATACTCCTATATGCAGTGTATTGGAAGTTCCCATTGCACGGTATCGTGATACTGCTATATGCAGTGCACTGGAAGTTCCCATTACATGGTATCGTGATACTGCTATATGCAGTGTACTGGAAGTTCATATTACACGGTATCGTGATACTGTTATATGCAGTGTACGGAAAGCTCGATTCAGATGAAAAAATGTAATACCTTGTCTTCAAGAAATGCAATAATCAAAATAAAATGCATTAATTTTATTTCAATGACATGATCTATTGAGCGTAAAATGAGATATTAAATGGGATCCAGGGGTGTCCTGGTGGTCTAATGCAACAAAAACAACATCAATAACAACTTGCCTATTTAAGCTCCGAAACTTTCCTTTTCCGCAAATCCGATTGTACCTGCATTTTTAAATAAGTGTTCAAGTTATTAATGTATAATTCACTTAATACTTACTATACTTGATATTTGGCGTTAGCACACTTTCCCATTCTATGAAGCATTTACCAATAAATATTTTGTCTGTCACGATAAAAACAGATTGGCAAAACAAGTAGTTCATGGTATATGCAACCCCCACCCCTAACCCACGCTTGTCATTATTTTGGTTCGGGCAAGAATACAGCTGTGTGTGTTATCATTTTGGTTCAGGCAAGAATACAGCTGTGTGTGTGTGTGTCATCATTTTGGTTCGGGCAAGAATACAGCTGTGTGTGTGTCATCATTTTGTTTCGGGCAAGAATACAGCTGTGTGTGTCATTATTTTGGTTCGGGCAAGAATACA